TATAAGATAAAGGGGTGAGGTAAAGGGAAATATATAGTAGTAAGACTGTTGGTTTACTTGAAGTGGTAAAATATTAAGTAGAATCTGGAAAAGAATAGAGAATTCATAAATAGATCCACAAATTCATAAATATATGACCAACTGATTTTTTTTTTTTTGGAGACGGAGTTTCGCTCTTGTTACCCAGGCTGGAGTGCAATGGCGCGATCTCGGCTCACCGCAACCTCCGCCTCCTGGGTTCAGGCAATTCTCCTGCCTCAGCCTCCTGAGTAGCTGGGTTTACAGGCACGCACCACCATGCCCAGCTGATTTTTAGTATTTTTAGTAGAGACGGGGTTTCACCATGTTGACCAGGATGGTCTCGATCTCTTGACCTCGTGATCCACCTGCCTCGGCCTCCCAAAGTGCTGGGATCACAGGCGTGAGCCACCGCGCCCGGCCGACCAACTGATTTTTGACAAAGACGCAAAAGCAATTCAATAGATGAAGTTTAGCTAACAGCCTTTTCAACAAATGGTGCTGGAGCAAGAAGGTATCCAGAGGTAGAAAGGAAAGGGGGAAAGAGAAGAGAGAAGAGGAGAGAAAAGGAAAGGACAAGAACAAGAACCTCTGTATCTCATGTTCCACAAAAATTAACTCAAAATGGATCATAGACTTACATGAAAAATGTAAAGGTAAAGCTATAAAACATGAAATCCTAAAGACCTAGGGCTTCGTAAAGAGTTCTTAGACTTGACACAAAAGAAAAAAATGATAATCCACAAAAGAAAAAATGATAAAACTAGATGTCATCAAAATTAAGGGGATAAAAAGCCAAGCTACTTTCTAGGAGAACACAGTCAGAAACCACACATCCAACAAGGAACTCTCTAAACTCAACAGTGAAAAAAACAAGCAATCCATATGGAAAATGGGCAAAACTTATAAACAAACATTTCACAGAAGATGACATGCAGATGGCCAGAAGTACATGAAAAAATGTTCAACATAAGTAAGCATTACAGAAATGCAAATTAAAACCACAGTGAGACACTAATACACAGCTCTTAGAATGGCTTAAAATCACCACACATGCCTGTCAACACTTGGTACTGGTGAAGAACTAGAACAAGTAAAAATTCCATACATTGCTGGGGGGAATGCAAAATGGAACAGTCACTTTGGAAAACATATTTCTTTCCTATAAAACAAAAGAAACTTTGTAATTTATATAAGGAACATGAGTAACCATGGACTTTGGTATCCACAGTGGCAGGGAGTCGGGAGGGTCGGGAAACCAATCCCTTCTGGATACGAAGAGATAACTGCACTTAGGAGTAAATTTAACCAAGGACATGAACGATCTGTATAATGAAAACTATAAAACATCACATCAAACACTAACCCAGTAATCCCACTCCTAAGAATTTACCCAAGAGAAATGAGTTTGGGTGGCTGCGGCTCACACATGTAATCCCAGCACTTTGGGAGGCTGAGAGGCAGGAGGATCGCTTGGACCCAGGAGTTTGAGACCAGCCTGGGCAACATAGTGAGATCCTGTCTCTACAGAAAACTAAAAAAATAGCACCTATAGTCCTAGCTTCTCAGGAGGCTGAGGTGGGAGGATCGCTTGAGCCCCAGGAATTCATGGCTGAAGTGAGCTACAATTACATCACTGCACTCCAGCCTAGGTGACAAAATGAGACCCTGTCTCAAAAAACAAACAAACAGAAAAACAAAAAACAGAGAGAAATTAAACTTAACATTCATACAAAACCTGCACATAAATATTTAAGGCAACTTTGTTCATTACTTTCAAAAACTGGGAATAAACTAAATGTCCTTCAGCTGGTAAACGGATAAATCAAAACTGCTTCCGACAGCTATTATGCAACTCTCCGGGAGTGATGTCACTGAAGCTACCTTCTTGCCAGGCCCACCCAACTAAAGCCACCAGACAAGTAACTGTTCTGTCTGGGATAACTGATCTCTCCAGGGTAGTCCAACCTTTTCTGATTGGGCCCCGACTTATTTTGAAATATATCTGTGACAACACCAGCAAAGGTAGTACAGGTAATGCTCTGAATAAAACGTGTGTTCTTCTGGTTCACATTATTCCTGGACATTAGTCACCAAGGCTTAAGAAACTAGCCTAAAAATCCATCAGTCAAGGCATCTAAAGATAAAACAACATGAAGAAATGAAAGAAAAAGAGAAAATGAGGTTGGGTGTGGTGGCTCATGCCTGTAATCCCAGCATGAGGAGGAGGAAGTGGGAGAGGAGAAGGAAGAGGGGGAGGGGAAAGACGGGGGGAGAGGGAGGAGGAGAAGAGGAGGAGGAGGAGGGAAGGAGAGAGAAAAGAAGTGACTTATTTCAAACATTAAGATTGGATTGAAATGCTTCACTTCTAATATTTTGAGCTGAATAAAATAATTTTATGGGATTGTTGACTAAATGCAAAGATGAAAATCTGTAACTGAATTCTGCTCACACTTACTAAAAATGTATGTAGCTTAACCTATCTATTCCTCAATGTTTTTACTAATATAACTGAGAAAAATAAACGGTATCTTGCAACGCTGTCATATGGTAAAATATAATTGCAGAGCAAAGATTTTTAATGTTTAATACAATATAAAATAATTTTATTTGATATTGTTTGTGCAACCTTTCCTTTTTGTATCTGTTTGTGCAGTGGAAACGGCATCAAGGCAGAAACAGTGAGGTAAAAAGTGTGGTTCCATTCCTAATACTCTTACTGCCTGGGTGAAATAATAAAGAATTGGGGAGTGGGCTCAACTGAAAGCTACCTAAGGAATGCACAATGACTCCTGAAGCTCAGATCCTGAATCCCTACCGTCCAGAATACGGCTGTTCAATAGCAGCACTACTGATATTATGAGCCAGCTAATTACTGGGGAGAAGGCGGCTATGTACTGTAGGTTGCTGAACAGCACTCCTGCCTCTACAAACTACATGCTAGTAGTGACCACTCTCCCTTTTCCCTGCCCATTCCCTAACAGGAATAATCAAAAATGTCCCATGGGGACTGGTCCAAAATGCTCAATGAGAAGAGTGAAGGGGGTATGAAAGTGAATGCTGTAGTGTGTGGCTAAGTGCCCTATGTGGGAAACTAGGAATGTTATTAACTCCTGACAGTTTATAGTTGAGTGTCTCATCAGGAATTGTCTAGAACCAAAGATGCTGCCTTACTCAGGGTTATGCCCCTTCCACTGGCTAATCACGCCCAATTACTACTCGAAATGGGAAGGCACAAAGGGCTACCCCCTTGCCTTCAGATGAGACAAGTATAAAGGACCACTCCAAAGTTCTTCACAAAAGAGGCTAAGGTCTCTGTTTGTAAATGCATCGCAGTTCACTTTTCCCACTGTTCAATGTGACTTTCTTCCTTTCCTTACAAATATTGGAAAGAGCACTCCCCAATAATCCCCCTACCCACACATCTCTGCCTTAGAGTTTTGTTTACTAGGAAATCCAACCCAAGACAGTGTAATAAAATAATGAGTCTGTTCTATTTATGATATATATATATGGTATTTATGTTTTAAGTGGAAAAAGATCATTTGCTGGATAAGAGTAGAAAGACATATAAATGGATAAAAAGGAGAGTTGATGAAAATCACTAAAATAAACATCCCGTAATTACAAATTCAAACTAAGATATTAACCAGAATGCTTCTGAACAGACAATTCATAATTTAACAGTTAACAATTTCTGGGTATTTATTAAGTGTCATAAATTATGCTAAGTACTTTATATATATTACCTGCCTGATCTTCTCAAGCAGCCTATAAAGCAGGAATTTTTATTTCTATGTATTGGAATTTTGATGGGGACACTGAGGCCCAGGGAGATTAAGTCCCTTATCTAAGGTGGTCATAGAGCACATGAGTGGCTGAGTTAGGCATCAAATCTTGGTCCATCCAATTCCACTTGTGTGCACTGTCTGGATTGTATCTACAGCCTCCTAAGAAGGTCTCTCACTCTATTTTTATCTACCTCTAAACCATTCTTCATATTGCTGCTAAAAAACATGTGTCTAAAATACAGCTCTGACCTTTGTTTTTTGGTTTTTTTTTTTGGAGACAGAGTCTCGCTCTGTCCCCAGGTACCAGGCCGGAGTGCAGTGGCACAACCTTGGCTCACTGCAACCTCTGCCTCCCGGGTTCAAGCAATTCTCCTGCCTCAGCCTCCCGAGTAGCTAGGACTACAGGTGCGCGCCACCACGCCCAGCTAATTTTTGTATTTTAGTAGAGATGGGATTTCACCATGTTGGCCAGGATGGTCTCAATCTCTTGACCTCATGATCCGCCCGTCTCGGCCTCCCAAAGTGCTGGGATTACAGGTGTGACCCACCACGCCCAGCCCTGACCTTCATTTTCAAACTTAAAACTCTTGTTCCTTAAATTCTAGATAAAGTTCAAACTCCCTAGCGTGGCGTGTAAATACAAGGTCCTTCATGGTCTGTTGCTTGATCATGACCATCTCTCCAGCCTTATACCCCGCTCAATTGAGCTGACAACTCCTGTGGATCCTTTCTAATACAGCTACATAGGGGTTTATGTAAGTATTACAGATAGTTATATGAAGATGTTTGGTTTATTTTCCCAGCAAATCAGAGCTACTATTTAGCAAACCTTTTTGTGTTCCAGACTCCATATGATGTACTTTATATTATATACACTATTTCATTTAGCCCTCATGATAACCTTAGGATTAAGTACAATTATTCTCATTTTACAGTTGAGTAACTTAACGATCATGAAAGTCAGGGAACTTCACAGCAAAGCTGATGGCAGGGCTGGGATAGAAACTTAAAGCTGTCTAACGCTTGTATTTTAAACTATTACAGTAAAGGTATTCAGTAAGTGTTTATAAAGTACTTCTCCATTCTTTTCAGCTTATGAATACCTGTAACACATAAACGTTCGAGGTAAAAATATACATAGAAACATTTTAATGTCACAGATACCTGATATTTTAAAACTTGTGTACCTACCTGCATGAGATCTTGAAGGCTGTCAACAAAAGAAATCTCTGCTTCTATCATATAAAATTCTGCCAGGTGCCTCCGGCTCTGAGAATTTTCGGCTCGGAAGGTTGGACCAAAGGTAAACACTTGAGTAAAAGCTCTGCAATTCAAGATTAAGAGAATAAAAATAGAATTCACATGATTAAGTATTTAAAATACTCAATGAGCTCTAACAGAAATAAAAAAAAGTTTTGTGTGCCTCTGTCTTGTCCACAGGCTCACACATATTTGCTGCTATATATTTCTCTAATACATAATAATAATAGTTTCATTAAAAATGTTAAATTTAGGCTGGGCACAATGGTTCCAGTCTGTAGTCCTAGCATTCCTGGGAGGACTGCTTGAACTCAGGAGTTCAAGACTAGCCTGGTAAAATGGTAAAATTTTATCTCTACAAAAAATCTTTTAAAATAGCTGGGCATGATGGCCTGCACCTGTAGCTCCAGTTACTTTTGAGGCTGAGGCAGGAGGATCACTTGAGCCCAGGAGGTAGAGGCCACAATGAGCCATATTCATGCTACTGCATTCCAGCCTGGGTGACAGAGTAAGATCCTGTCTCAACAACAACAACAACAACAACAACAAAAAAAAAAAAAAAAAAAAAAGAAAAAAGAAAAAAGAAAAAGAAAAGAAAGGTTACATTTATAGAAACCATTTTATCCTGAAGGAATCTGCAACTGCTTCACAAACCCTATGGTTTTACTAAATATAGAATAGAAACATAACCACTTCTGGGTGCACTCCACTGCAGCTGCCTTAAACAGCAGGCAACTACATTTCACAGCAATCAAGAACAAAGTAAAGAAAAAGATATCGCTGCCCAAGAAACCACAAAGAAAACCTAGATAATAACAGTGAAAACTAGAATTTCACATAGTAAGGTATGTTCATTTATTTTCTAAATACATGAAAAAAGAATGTCGGACACATATGGCAGGCAGTTCACCTTATTCAAAGCTCACTCAAGTCCTTCATGACCACCCATGTCTTTCGATCAACGGCAAATGACCCCTGAAATTTGGAGGTGAGAGATTTTGAGGAACTGCTTTATTCCCTTGATTCCAAGAAGGACTATAGCTCAATCATCCCTTATTCTTAAATTCCTACAGTGAAGTGGACACAACAACTGTCATTCTTTAATGCTTACTGTTTCCCTCATATTCAAAGCGAGTTAACAGCTGAGATTAGATCAAGCACGTATGAAGTAACAAATATTTCTGGAGGACTCAATCTTTAAATGTTAAGGGTTTTTTTTGTTTTTGTTTTTTTTTTTTTGAAAAGGAGTTTCCCTCTTGTTACCCAGGCTGGAGTGCAATGGCGCGATCTTGGCTCACTGCAACCTCCGCCTCCTGGGTTCAGGCAATTCTCCTGCCTCAGCCTCCTGAGTAGCTGGGATTACAGCCACGTGCCACCATGCCCAGCTAATTTTTTGTATTTTCAGTAGAGACGGGGTTTCACCATGTTGACCAGGATGGTCTCGATCTCTTGACCTCGTGATCCACCCGCCTCGGCCTCCCGAAGTGCTGGGATTACAGGCATGAGCCACCGCGCCCGGCCACAATTAAGGTTTTGTTAGAACAAAGCAAGCTGTCTGAGGCTCCTTAGCTATGATCCTGAGCATGTTTCATTTGTCTGTCGTTTAGCCAAATAATATAAAGATCAGAAAACTTAGTGCGGAAAATAGACGGATTTTGTATATATATATTAGTTTTTTTTGTTTGTTTTAAGTAAAAATACTCTGGGAAAAGAAACAGTAAAGTAACTATGGTGAAAACTTAAAAGATTTATTTTTCTCTCACATTGCCATTTCAGTAAGACCCCATTGGTAGAAGCTTAGGAATTTATACTTTGGTTCTACAGCTACCTTCCTCAAACCATAATCTGCTAACCTCTGAGACCCTTAGTTTTTAATGAAAAGATAGTAGAAACTCAAAAATATTACTATGGCTGCCTTTCGCCCAAGATTCAGCTCCAGATTTGCCTACTAGAGTGTTTCTGAAAACCTACCTTGTGCAAAATGAAAATTTTTATTCTGTTTCCCAAAACAAAAGACATAATGAACAATCCTGCCTTTCTTTTTACATTTGCTCCGGCTATCTCAGTTAATCCCCCTACTGAACCAAGCCAGATACCACATTCCCCTACTGACCACATAGGCCATATAATTTTGATCACAAAATTCAGTTGTTTACACCTTGGAAAACTCTCTGAAATCTCGCAGCTCTTCTCTATCTTCACAGCTATTGTCAGTGGAAACCTTTGTCTCTGGCTTAGAAAGACAGGTCTAGAATCTACCTGACTTCTTCCAGCCCCAAACTACAGGTTTCCAACCTCAAATCTGATTATGTCTTTCCTAATTTTAAAATCTTCAATGATTCCTTAGTAACAAAGAGTAAAATTCTAACTCTTAATTTCAACTCAGTTGTTTCCCACCCACCCTTTCCTCCAGCCACTCTGAAGACCTTCTCCTTTCCTAGCATGCCCCGTGCATGCATGCCCTTGGGTTTTTGCATAGGTCCTTTGCTACCCTGCATTGCCTCCTCCCCTGCTCCTCTCCCCTCCAAATGGAAAATTCCCATTCATCCTTCAAGACTTGGCTCAACTGTCACTTCCCTTTTGAAACCTTACCACTCCCCAAATTTATGGCTCCCTCTAGTATATTACAACATATTTTCATGTTTATTATATAGAACCTATCACTCCGAAATGTAATTATCTATGTAAGTATCTTTCTCCCCCAATAAACTATGACATTTTCCAGAACAGGAATCATGTTTTATTCATATTTGCATCTCTAGTGCCTAAGATAAAACAGGTGCTCATGCTGAATGAATGAGTACTAATGATGATGACAGGCTTCCTCAGTTATAAACTAAAAAGCACATCCTCACAAAGAGTAACATTGCAAATACAGAAAAATACTCAGATATATGTCACTGTGGCTGTCAGTACCTAAAATAGGTCAAACAATCCAGGTCTGGCCCAAACGATAAATTCAACAATTACTAGGACCTGAGTTTCCAATCTGTGACTGTGCTATCTCTAAGTAGGTTGGCAATAGTATATCTAAATAAGTAAAATGACACTTCTGTTACTGTATCACAATTAACTGTGCGTATACATATGAGCAAAGGATGCTCCAAGATGATGAGCAATAGAGATTCTTAAATTTTACAATGATAGCAAGGTCTCTAGTATAAAATGTACAGAGGCTCAGTAATTTTTATTTCAATTATAGTAAGGATCAGGCTCTGACTGAGGTATCCAAGGGTTAAATATCATTTTGATAGGGTATGAACTAATGACCAAAGTGCTTCCGCTAAAGTTACAGAGGGATAAAATGAACCGGAAGGTATCTTGAAAAACTGCCTAAGAAAGCATCTCATTTTTAAGCAGATCAATGTTTAAATCATTGAGTAATAAAGATCACCCTATGTCAGTGTCCAGTGTTCTATTATAAGTAATGGTAGCAGTAGCAGTACTAGTGGCTACCATTATGGAGTGATCATTGTGTGCCAAGCACTAAATGGCCAAGAACCTTAATCCCTTCAGAGTTAACTCAATCTTAGTATGCATAAATACATTTATTTTCCAGAATAAGAAACTGCAGTTCAGAGAGGTTAAGAAGCTTTACCTCACAGAGTTATAGTTTAATAAATAGTGGAAGCCAGACTCAAATCCACATTTCTGACTAATATTCACAGCCTTAACCATGATATTAACAATAATGATGCTCACGACAACACTGCAAACTCAGAAAATTAGAAAGAAAAATTTTTAGTATATTTCCCCTTCTCTAAGATAACTAAGGTAAGCAGTTTTATATATTGTGAATAGCTTATTTGTTTTATGTGTTAAAATCCCGCTCTGTAGAATGTTATCTTCATGAAAATAATGAGAATGACATATCCTCATCAATACTTTGTAATCTTTAGCAAGTTATTTAGTTTTTCTGGTCTTCAAATTCTTATAGAACTCAGGGTTGGAGGCAACCTGGCATTGATCTCTGTATCTTTTGCAATAATTTTGTCACTAGGTGGATGTGAAATCACTTCTATTTTAATTTACGCTGACTTCCTTCTTTTTTTCTGTCTTCCACAGGCATGAAAGCCACGTGCAGCAAAGACTAAACCAACTAACATTTAAAATAAAATCTGAGAACAAGGCCATTTCTAAAATAAGATACAAAACCAGGTGAAAGGCCAGTATTGCTCTGAGAAGAGACCAGTAAAAAAAGAAAACACTCAGTACTAAGAATCACTCTTGTGCCATATTATGAAGAGAGGAAAACTATACAAGGAAAATCCACAGGCTTGGAGTTGATGTTTAGTATAATATAAGTACATTCAATACCAATCAACCAAGATAACTAGAAAAATGGCTCTTTGGAAAACAAAAAGCAAAACTGCAAAAGAAAAAAAAAAGTTTCTACAAAGTTCACTTTCTCCTGTGGGTGGAGTTTTATGAAGCACTCAAGATGGCAACTAGATTAATATAAAGTGGTCACTGACTGCCTGGCCATTTATTCTTTCTGGCTCTGAAATTTCACAGTGAATCTTAACATTTTGAAATAACAGAGGAATTGCTATTCTTTAGTTTGGGAAGAACTTATTCAGCATAAGTCGGGCATGGTCACTCATGCCTGTAATCTCAGCACTTTGGGAGGCCGAGGCGGGCAGATCACCTGAGGTCATGGTGAAACCCTGTCTTTAAAAAAAAAAAAGCCGGGTGCAGTGGCTCACACCTGTAATCCCAGCACTTTGGGAGGCCGAGGCGGGTGGATCACGAGGTCTAAAGATCGAGACCATCCTGGTCAACATGGTGAAACCCCGTCTCTACTAAAAATTAGCTGGGCATGGTGGCACATGCCTGTCTCAGGAGGCTGAGGCAGGAGAATTGCCTGAACCCAGGAGGCGGAGGTTGTGGTGAGCTGAGATCGCGCCATTGCACTCCAGCCTGGGTAACAAGAGCGAAACTCTGTCTCAAAAAAAAAAAAAAAAAAAAAAAAAAAAAAAAGAACTTATTCAGCATAAAATTGATCAGCAACTTTCCCTACAACCTTCCCAAACCACCCCCAACCTCTGTATCACTTCTCTACTG